TATATATTAAGTCCAGCAGTGGCCAGAAATAGGCTGAAAAATAATACTTCAAGAATAACAGGATTAAGTTAATAATATCAATCTACCTCGAATTATTCCAGATAAGAGTAGAAAGATCTAGTAATTTTATGTTCCACTATAAACGGTATCTACAAGTTATAGAAGTATTCCAATATTACCTTAAAATGCCATTTTATCTCGGTTGTTCAATGAAAATCAGTACCGTAGATAACGGCACGATAGGTAAGGTAAAGTAGTTCGTAATGTTGGGTCTTGTTGAAAGGTTTACGTGCGAATCTTTAGAGCACGGTATTCGAAACTATCTAATCGTATTTTATTACAGATCTGTCCTCAAAATCTTAACTTAAGGTAGCATTAAGGTTTTATTATTTTGTTTTTACGTATTGTTTTATTGTACCAGAGTAAATAAGGCTTCTATGCCGGAATACTGAAACGTTACTCAATTTTAAGTCGTGCTTAAATATCGTGCCATCTCTGTCATTTCACAAAAAATTAGTGGTGACAGAACTATATTCAAGCGTGACTTAAAATTGAGTAACCTTTCAGTATTCGGGCATGAGTTCTTTAAATATTACTTTAAAGCACTGTCAATTGAGCTAATTGTTACACATCCGTAGTTTCAAGATCTGCCAAGTTAGAAGTGCAAGTTACAATGGAAGTTTTACTTCGAGAGATCATTAAACGACAATGAAGAACGAGACAGTAAAAGAGGCGTCGCCTTGTAAAGACCGACTTCAACAATTGAGACTAAAAGTTTTCTAACAATTTAATTTAGTTCGAGATTAAAGCAGCGTTTTGTTAAGCGGCGACTTCTAAGGCTCGGTTCCACGTCACAAACACTGGTCTCCTAACATTGTATGCAGCGATCGAATTCGTTTAACACGTGACTGGACACCGGCGGTAGTTTAATAGCCTCGTATATGTAAAGGACAGGCGCGGTCTACGTCCAACCAATTTGCAATAAAACAATATGGCGCGCCAGCATACCCCGGCTTGTGGCCGAGCGTTCTGCCAGCCCCTTGTTGTATTTTATATTTATCCCACTACGGACCCATTAGTCGCCTACTTTTACGTCACATTACCGATGTTACATTATCTCTTCGAGCGAAATTAATCCGAGGAGACTGTAACGTCTTTTTGAATCCATTTCTTCTTTGCCCACCTTTTTGATACTTTTTGCGACGTACTCGTTACAAGTCCGAAGGAAGAAAGCAAGATAAACTAATTAACATGCAACGGAGGGAAATCGGATTAAAATAACTTTTAATGAACCTCTATCCTTTAATATTCATGAAAACGTAGGTACCTACTTAATAAATGACGTCTCAGTAGCGTATTAATTAATACTTTCTCGCCTTTTGTATATTTAAATAACTTAAAATAATCTCCAATAGGTATCGTAAAAAGCAGAATCTTATTGCTCGTTAAGATTTTAGTGCTTATAATATTAAATGTAAGCTAGAGATTTGCGATATCAACGACCTGTTTACTCTGGAACATTATCATGTTTCTTATTATGTTTAAATTTCTATTTTCTCATGCCTTGTGCTTGCTTGAGAGAGAATTTTGTAAAACGGTTTTAAGTTAGAACAGTTTTTTAACGGCCTAATGCATTTAAAGGGCGTAGGTAAGTGTAATTGATTGAAATCATCGGATGAACATAAACAAAAAATTGTTTAGTAAATTGAACTTTCTTTCTTTATTATTAGTCATATATCTCTTAATTAAATAAATAGGCACGACCATCACGAGCAAAAACTTAAAGTAGGAAGGAAAACAGGAAAAAATAAAGCACTTGTGAAACAATCTTAGCTATTTTAATACCTTTGCCCGACACAATTGCTTGTTATTGTGAACCTTGTTGTGTTTTATCGTAGGATATCGGGGACAGTTTCAAGGATAGGCTGAGGACTCTTATCTAAGACTTGAACACCGAAAATTCTGTTACGACGTCGTCATGTTTGCCGAGCAATCCCTTTGAAATCCAATTTCCCGAGTATATTTGTACTGTCACGGCACTCGTAGCTTTTTGATACATTAAGTGCTCTTTTATTTTTAATTTGTGAACTTCCTAAATTGAGTACGTAAGCAGTTTTATGGGTGATTTACAAAAACCGTTCCTAAATATTACTGAACTGTTGAACAAAGCCGTGTAAAATCAATAAAAGCAAAGTAAACCCCTATAACTGCCGGTTTCCGTTTTGAATTGGATTTCAAAGTAGCAGTACATTTTTGTGGACACCAAAGCGAATGTGACGGTTGAAGTACATAAAAATAAAAGCGATGGGTTTTTCGTCCTCTGTGAAGCGATCCAATGTTCAGGGTCTGTGTAAATAAGGATTTCTTTTATTGCGTGTACTTCAAGATTACTGCTCTTTGAATTAAAACAATTGTTCTTACTTAATTCAAATGATGTACCCAATTTTGTTTTGAGCTTGACAAGTATCGATTACGAATTTTATTCATAAGAAAATATCTACTATTTTCCTTATAAAATTGTTATTATTATTGATCTCAATCCTCAAAACATAATATTTCAAGATCAGATATCTTATTTGCTAGAAAATCGTAACTCTATTTATTTATACGACTTAATATATTTCTTTGTAAATGTAATAACATTTGTCACAATATGTCAGACTGCTTAATTTTATTGAGTTGTATTTCTTACCGTGATTTATTTTCGTCTGATGATCTATTTTGAATCTGATCTTTAGCAGGATATATTATTTTAATTTCTAATATTACGTAATATAATATTGGAAAAACAGTAGGTGCCAAATATTTATAACTTTCTGTTTTTGATTAGTCAAGGAAATATTAAATAATACTGTACTTAAATTAGGTACGTAGGTACAGGGGTTTAAAACAATTCAATAAGAATACCATAATCTTTTTAATGTTGTAGCCAAATGCCATTTAGCGTTTGTCTACATGTAGAATAGAAAACCAAATTATATAGACATGACGTAAATTTGAACACTTGTCAGTGTTCCCTTCATACATTTAGTTTTCTACTCTCTCGGTAGACAAGCGCTAAAGTGGCATTTGGTTAAAGGCACAGGTTATATTCACATTTGCCTTAACCTCACAAGAAAATTTCGACGTAATACTATGACAATCCACGTTTTTAATGTCAGTTGTAAAGAAATTATATAATTATGTAACTTTGACAAAATAAATATTTAAATTCTAGCTTCGCAATGCAGACTACCGTAGATGTGCTTTGCATATGAATATAAGCAAAGTTTGGTTTTAACATTTTCACCGGGTAGAAACTCGATACACTTCTTGATGTCTGTGAGTAATAAAATTCTTTATATTGCGCTGTTTGTACGGAAAATTCTTGAATTTACACTCTGAAATAAGAGACTCAGGAAAAAAGCTGTAGAAATAAGATGCCAACACGATTATGTAGTAACTATTTACATTATGTTACTTATGTAAATATTTGTTTACTAAACACTGATTTTTTTTTTTTTTTCTTCTATGGCAATTGAGTCTCCACTATTTAGTAGTTGACTATTCTGCCAGCGAGCATCTCTGGCGTATTTTTAACGTCAATTTTTTATGCTTTTAAAACTATAAGCTGCAAATATACAGCGTGTGAATTTTTGTGTGCCTACACAGGTAATGTTTTGACATAGGTATTATACGGGATTGTGAATACTTTTTGGTATCTTAGGTTATGTTTATTTAAATTTGCAGATAATTAAACATAGTGCCCAGTGCTATGTTAACCTTGTTGCGGTTCGGTAATGGCTCGGTTTTACAAATTACGTTATTTGGTTTTGTAAACAAAATGGTTGCATAGTTCGGCAGTTATGAGCGGTTAAACGCTTCTAATGGATGTTCACTGCAATGGGATTTTGTCATGAACACGCCGTATTTACGGATAAAATACAGTTCATTCGCGTTAAATATAAATTAGTGACCTGATTTCGGTTTCACACGTGGACAATTATTATAAAAGACAATTTTTCATTGTGTTTTCAATATTTCAGTGTATAATTTATTGTTTTGAAGATACAATTTATTGGTAGTCGAATAATAATTACATACGTAACTTTTGCTATGCATGATACAATTTATTCAAAGACTAGCTTTTACCCGCGGCTTCGCTCGCGTCACAAAAGGATTAAAAGTAGCCTATGTGACATATACCAATACACACAGCGCCATATATACCAATAATTTCGTTTTCCCTCGATAATATACATTTTATCCGGGATAAAAAGTACCCTATTATTTAATCCAGACTTCTAACTTTACGTCTGCAAAATTTCAAAGCAATCGGTTTAGTAGTTACGGCGTGAAAGTGGAACAAACAAACAAACAAACAAACTCACTTTCCCATTTATAATATTAGTAAGGAGTAAGGATAGTCTTTTTTGTTTCATGACTATATTTAAATTCGTTTTCATTTTTACTATGGTTTTCCTCTTATTTGTTATAAGTACTGTATATACCTCGTTGACCGAGTTGTCGCAAGTGCGACTGCCGGGCAAGGGGTCTTGGGTTCGATTCCCGGGTTGGACAAAGAGCTGCTGGGTTAAAATAAAAATCTCAGTGGTGGGGACTCTGGAATTGTGCCCATTATATGGCAAAAGGCTCATCCCCTATTACAAGAGACTCATAACATAAATAGTGAAAAGTGGGTGTTACATTATACAGTGGCATCAAGTGCCATAATGTGCACCTCTGCCTATCCCTTCGGTATGTCGCGGAGAACCTAACGGGTAACCGGGGCTCCGGCTCGACGTGCAGGAGAAGGAACGGGGTGGTTTTTAGTCAGTAAGAGTCTGACACTCCCTCCCGCCTCACCCAGGCGGGGGCAGTCATTCGATGATTTTCCCCCCTTAAAAAAAAAAAAAAATCCCTTCGGTATAAAAGGCGTGATGTTATGTTAACAGTTATAAGTAATATTGTCGATTTATTATCAACTACACAGTACTAAATACTAATTTCATTTGTTACAGATTTACATTATCAGCCGCGGCCTCCAGCTCCTGAAGGTTAGTAAGAAGTTTATTTCATTAAAAAGTTTTTTATATTATCTGTGGAGCAGCTAGACTGCACGTAGCCATTTGACCTTCACCGCGTTGCTTCTTAGGTTAGGCAATATGTATATTTAGTTGTGAATCTTAATTTCGTAACGTAAGTAAATAAACATAGGTTGCGCGATTAAATTCGAAAATAAATAAATGAAACGTAATATTTAAATTATTAACCAGTTTGTTTATAAATTTTTAAGTAAACAGTAAGCACTTATTGAATATATCTATATTAATTGTAGCGTAATGTTTTAGCCTGTAGCCTTCCTCAATAAATGAGCTATCCAAGACAAAAATATTTTTTCAAATCGTACCAGTAGTTCCTGAGATTAGCGCGTTCAAACAAACAAACAAACGAACTCGCCTCTCTTTTTTTGAAAGTTGGTTAATTAATATAGGTACTAAAACCTTCTCGTAAGGGTAACTTATAATTTTCTGAAAACCACATCAAAACCGGTTCAGTCAATCATTAGATAATCGCGCACAGATAATTATACATACATACATACAGGTCAAACTGCGAACCTCACTTTTTTCAAGTCGGTTAATAACGATTAACTCACGCGAAATGCGCGTACAATTCTATTATTATCAAGATACAATGGGATTCTTAGGTCTACCATCTACGTTGCGTCATTTGACAAATGAATGTAGCATTTAAAAAAAACGTATCATTAAGTAAAATCGCGGGTTACTCACGTGACTATACTGAGAAAAGCTCTACTAGTTTCGAACCACAGAGGGGTTCTTCCTCATGAGTAGCGTGCGCGGTCGCAGCGACGTCGCGCAGTTCACTGGCTGGCGTTGGCGTTCGCCTCGGTATTGCTTTTCTCAGTATATTCACGTGAGTAACCCGAGATTTTAATTAATTTATTATTATTATGTCCCACGATTGCAGTTATCATTGTTTCTAAACAAGCATTTGTCGTGTGAAGGATGCATACAGTCGTCAAATGACGCAACGTGCATTACCCTTACTTAGGAGTAGTGTTCGCAGCCACACAAGCCCTTATATTTAATGAACCTCTATTATGTCGGAACTTAAATCTACGCGAGACACAATACCTTTTCTATTGTGTCTCATATATCATATATCGACAGACATGAGGTTAAGCATGTCTCACGACAGTAATTATACAAAAAATATTAGTTTGTGGTACAAATCATTTCAAATATAATTTGTAGAACTTCACAAACACACATCAGAGATGTGCACGGTTGACTTAGCATAACCCAGCCCCGTACTCACATCATACGTACATATGTTACGTGTGTTAGGGGATTATGCCTTCATTGTTCGTATTCCTACAATAACATATAGTTATACTGTACAATAGTCTATTTAAAGGCATCTATTTATAAAACTACTGAACTCTGCACAGCTATACAGCTAAACTGTAGAATGACCTGCCGTCGACGGTATTTTCGAACCGATACGACCTTCAAACCTTCAAGAAAAGAGCGTATTCCTTTTTAAAAGGCCGGCAACGCATCTGTGACTCCTCTTGTGTTGCGGGTGTCCATAGGCGGCGCTGATCACTTACCATAAGGTGATCCGTCAGCTCGTTGGCCTACTAAGCCATTAAAAAAAATAAAAAAAATAAACAGTATTTAATATAAGTAAAA